GAGACGAGTGATGTGAATTTCCATAATAGAAGGCCATGGCCTTTTATTCTGGGGGAGGGGGGAGTTTAACATCAGTTTAATAGAACGTCTTTCATTATCAAGGGTGTGGGGTGTGGGTGTTGGTACCATGATAAGCCTCGCACCCACATCCACATTTAAACCCTTCTTTCAATAGGTTGGGTGATTGTAATACTTTAATGATTTTTCTGCGAATTTAGGTATCAGTCTTGCCGTTAAGTTAAACTCTTGATAAATGCTTTAGAAGTTTTTCGAAATTACACGATTTTTTTTGTGAATTTCATAACTAGACACCTTAGTAGGTATATCCACACAGCTAGTTAGGAAACCATTATTTTTTTCAAACACCGATTTTCCTTAGAGAAGCCTCTTATTCATCAACAATTTAACCACTAATACATAAAATTATTTGACCAAAAAATAGAAATTTTTATTTTAATACTAAATCAAATACAAAAATAGTACGAAATTGAACAAACAACATGAAAACACATATTAACAAATCAAAATAAACATCAACATAGAATTATTATTTTGGACTAAATCGAATGTATAGAATAAAGCCATGAAGACTTAATCGAGATAAATAGTTAAACAAGAAATACTAGATTTCCTTTTTTTCGTAGCAGTTTCATTTGATCTATTTGTTTAGTTTCTACCAAATAACCGTACAAATTCATTGAATAATTCTTTAGAATCAACACGAAAATTCTGATTCATTTCGTAACATTAGAGCTTCATTAAGTGTTTTTTTGGATTCGTGAAGTATAATTTGATTTTGTTCAGTAATTTTCACCAAGATATTTTGAATTTTTTCAATCGAAAAATCTGGTGTCGTGGTTACTGTAAATGTAACTAATGGTGTTATTTCCTAAAATATTTAAAAGAGGGTGTGGGTGTGTCTGTATTGTTCGCTTTCTATAAGCACATTCACACCTTCTATACGATCGACAGTCTAGATAACCACAACATACACTTTTGCTGCAAAAGCCATTAGAAACTAAACAATATGTCTTATGGAAAAGTTGTAGACCTTGATATTCTTTTTCGAATCATGTTTAATAAAGGATTGCTTATCTGATTTATAATCATATTCACACGACTTAATGATTGAAGTCCCGAAAATTTTTCTTTAAAATTTGAACCAGCATGAAGAAGACAGAGAACTTTTTTTTCTATCTTTTGATACATAAAGAATTGTGCTTATCAACATATTTGCAACCGTCGTGGACATGCTACTGTACCCAAACTAGAAACTAAATTTTAACCTTAAATGAATTTCATAAATGTCATAGCGCGTGCAATTTAGTGTCGAATAACGTGACCATTTATGGATGTATCTACACAAAAACATGCTCTATCCACAAGTGCTACCATATTTGAATTCTTTTTAGTGAGGGAAGGTCATGATCTTTTACCCTCTCTTAATAACTAGAAATTCGAATATTTCAACTAACGCACACTATATTGTAAATTGTTAGTTTGAAGATGAGAATTTTATGTTGACCTGAATAAAAGCACTCTTTCTCATCCACAATATAAAACCCTCCATTGTTAGATTCTTGTAATAAAGTCAGACGGGGGAAAAAGAAAGCAAAAAGCGGCATAGAACAAACAAGAGCGGGTGCGTCTTATCACTTGTGAAGCACGTTTGGGAATGATGCGTCCTCTTTCTTTATCAAGTAAGTATTATTTTAGCCTTTTCTTTATAAAATAATAATTGCATCCTGTGCCTTTTTGTTTTGTTATTCTGAGACTTTATCAGCAATAAAACTCGAAAGAGATTCAAATAAAAAAGTTAATTTAAAAAGTATGACACTCGTTCTATTATTATTCATTATCTCTTGCTCATCTACCATTATACTAAGTAAATGAATTTTCTTAAAGAAAAAGTGACTTTTAATTTGCTTTACTTTATTTGATTTAGTTACTCATGCAAATGTCGATTGTAGCATATATGCAGACGATGTTGGCATTATCAATCGAAATCCGTTTTATGTGCGACTCAATCTTAATGATTCATTTACATCTGTGTATGTTGACTATTTTAGTAATAAAATTCAATATTTCAATATATTTAATGATGTTAATCCTTCCACAAGCATATATTGTTTGAAAAATTTAGTGAAACTTCAATTAATGAATACCAATTTACCTATATTACCTGATATAAAAAATTTTCAATTCTTAACATCATTGATAATTCGGTCCGATAATGGTGCTATTGGTCAGCATTTACCACCTGAATTAGGAGAATTAAAATATTTATCAACTTTAGAATTATCCGGCATTAAAAATCTCGAAGATTTACCTAATGATATTGAATATTTAGTTGGTATCTCATCATTAACATTACAGAATATACCAAATTTGAGTCGAATACCCGATGAAAGTTTTGGTAAATTAACTCAGCTTATCAGTTTAAATTTTTCTGATTTACCAAATATATCAACTATACCAACAACTATAAATAATTTTCAACAATTAAATAAATTTGAAATAACTAAAACAAATATTACAATATTGAATTTAAAAGGATTGCGTAGTCTATATTTTTTAAAAATAACATTTAATTCATTATTAGAGACAATAGAAATCACAAATATGAATTCATTGAGTTCCATAGATGTTCGTAATAATGATGAATTGTTAACATTCAATATTCAAAATTCATATTATTTGCAAACCCTAAACATACAATCAAATAAAAAATTAACTTCTGTGAATATCGTTAATGTATCATGTTATAGCGATGCTATACGAACAATAGTCGATAATTCACAATTAAATACCATTGAATTAAAGAATGTGTCTGGTTTAAATATTTTTGAAATAAATTCATTAGTCAATTTGAAATCAATTGTATTTGACAATTTACAAAATTTATTTAATGTTACTATTAGGTTTAGTCCTGAATTGCAAACGATTTCATTTATTAATACATCATCAATGAAATATCTTGATTTGTCAGGATGCAACTTAGCAACATTTCCAGAAAGTATTTTAAAATTAGAATCTTTAATCAATTTGGTTTTGACATCAAATCAATTATCAACATTGCCATCAACATTAATAACTGATTTACCTAATTTAAAAGTTCTTAATTTAGCAAATAATAACTTTCAAGGGAATATTTTTCAACCAGCGCTTTCTAATATTCGTGAACTTTATCTAAGTAAAAATTCATTGACATCTGTTTATGGTATTCAAGAATATAAATCTTTACAACGATTAGAATTAGATTACAATAATATTTTATTAATTCCATCTGAAATAATAAATTTATCAACAAAATTACAAAACTTAACGATAAATTATAATAAATTAAGTTATATTCCATATGAAATGACAAACATGAGATCATTAAGTTCGTTTTCAGCTACGAATAATCCCATTACAAATGATGAACGAAGGAATCTATATAGACTATTTTCACAATCACCTATACATTTTGAAATTTGAATTTGAAATAAAACTTAATAATAAACTTATTCTTGCTTGTGTACTAAATAAAATTTCTCATAAAGAACATATAACTGTTTCATTTGATGCCATAATCTTTAACGAAATCATATCATGAATAATCTATTCCATTAGTAACGATAATAATAATTTGATTAATTGAATTTCAGGATTTCATTATAAAAATATCGAAGGAAAACGGTAAGATCTTATTCGATAAAGCACACTGGCATCAACAAATAATTCTGTTCTTGCGAAAAAAAAGCATTTCCTAATAAGATTACCTTTGACTCGATATCGTCTATAGAATCAATGAAAATTTTATTCATGTGCATAAATTGTGTATTTATTCAATTCTTTTTTTGCGCACTCTTTATACACTTTAAGTAACTAATGAGTCGAAAATTTTGGACAAAATATTTGTCCATTGTTGACTGGGTCGAACAGTGGCGTAGCCAGGATTTTTTTAAGTAGGTGGCAATTTACTAGCTAAGTTATTTTGAGTAGGTGGCAGTAATGGGTAATTGTAAAATCTAGTTGGCAATAATTTTTAAAAAATTATTCGCATCACAGAAGTCGTTGTTTGCTGAAGAAAAATTAGTCATCATACATTAACAGATAAATTCGTTCACTTTTTTTTTTTACAGTGTTTCAAAAATGTATTCTTCTATTTCAATTCTAATGTTCAGTCATATGCACATCCTGCAAACGGCATATTGTCATTTCAGAGCTGCAACAAGTAGGGTTTTTCCTTACTAGTACCGGTACCGGTAAAAATAGTCAGACCAGATCGGACCGCCCGGTATATCTATCTGAGTCATTCTTCATTTTCTGTCCCTCTAACACTCAAATCAATACCTAGATGACTCATGTTTTCCTTCTAATCACTTCAGCTATGATATAGAAGTATTTTTTTTACTACGACAGTGATTTTCACTATTTACTTACATATCTTTTTGTGTTTCTCAATATCTATTGGTGGACAGAAAACTTCATGTAACTATTAACTAAGGCCTTCTCCTCTCAAAAATCGCTCTCACGAGGGAACCACCCGAGGTGTCAAAAAGCTTTTCAGTCGGGGATATGATGGTTAGATAGGGCATAGCTAGGAGTGATATACCCTAAGTTAGTT